TTAGTTGTTTGATTCAAGATAAAGTAAACAGTATAAGGTAGTTGGTTGTATTCAAAATGTGCCTTACAATGTTTCAATAAGTACTTATATCTTAGTTTGTTTTATCTTGAATCAAACAACACAACCTACAGCTTTGATTACATCATAAGTTCATTCAGATTATTTCAAACCTGTCTAATCATCTCTGAAACATTCTAATAAATAATTGAAGGAAAAATAAGTATTCTACGGACAATATCCTGACTGAATTGTATATATTTTCACTAACTTGGATATGAAAAAAGGTTAAAAGTACTCCATTATTACATGTCATTGTCATCTAACTTTCTTACTTGTCCTAACCTTTAGCGGAGTTTAATGTCTGGACGAGGGAAGCTGGTGCAGGCAGCCTCTCTTTATCAATAGAAGGACCCTCAAAGGCTGAGATTGATTTCAAGGACAGAAAAGATGGTTCTTGCTATGTGTCCTATGTTGTTCAAGAACCAGGTAAACATGGATTTCTCTACAGATTTATATTTAGTTTAAAGATGTTGTAAAGATAAAATCTTTAACTTCCTATGAAACATTATCACATATAAACACAAATTTGTATTTCTTTTTCCAGAGTAGAATTTTATGAAATAATATGTGTTGCTTCCAACTAAGAGATATATATTTTACACATTATAGATATTATTATCGAAATATGTAATGCTTGTTTTCTAGCAGAGTATCATGATGTACGAGTAAGGATGTAACACTTGTTTTCTATAGAATATCATGATGTACGAGTAAGGATGTAACACTTGTTTTCTATAGAATATCATGATGTACGGGTAAGGATGTAACACTTGTTTTCTATAGAATATCATGATGTACGAGTAAGGATGTAACACTTGTTTTCTAGAGAATATCATGATGTACGAGTAAGGATGTAACACTTGTTTTCTAGAGAATATCATGATGTACGGGTAAGGATGTAACACTTGTTTTCTATAGAATATCATGATGTACGAGTAAGGATGTAACACTTGTTTTCTAGAGAATATCATGATGTACGAGTAAGGATGTAACACTTGTTTTCTAGAGAATATCATGATGTAAGATTAAGATGTAAATATTTTATTTCTAGGTGAATATCGTGTTGGCATTAAGTTCAATGATCAGCACATCCCACATAGTCCATACAAGGTGTACGTCATGCCTCCTACTGGAGATTCAAAGAAGGTTGAGTTGGGTGCAATACCTGAAGGAAACCTCAGAGTCAATAAGCCTGTGGCATTCACAGTTCACATGAATGGTGCCAGGGGCATGTTAGATGGCAAAGTGGTTGCTCCTTCTGGGTGTGAAGATGATTGTTTTCTTGTTCCAATTGATGAAGGTAAAAGTTAGGTTTTAAGTTGTAAAGGTAGATTCTGGATGTTATAGACAGTGTTTCCATCTTCTAAATGGACAATGGTTAGTTTTATGTTGGACTTGGGGTATACACACACTTGTAGTATTTAATAGAATTTTTGTGAAATGATGTTATATATATTTTACTTTTAATGAAGGAACTGTAAAATATAAGTTCTCGAAGTGGTGAATTGTTTTATTGTTCGATATAGAGTCAGCTTGAAATTAGTTTCTTAAACTACCTGAATGAAGATAACATATTATCAATTTTCAACTGCCATACACATTTGTGAGAAGCTAGAAGTTTTTTTTCCTGCAGAAACATTGTTCATGTTTCATCAGTTCTCTCCAGATAAAAAGAGACTTATTAGTAGAAGTGTTAAAAGTAACCATAATGAGCTGGGTCATATCCATAGTACAATAAGTGATCAAATTCAGCCAGCCCATGTGTAAGACTTAAAAACAAACATCTGAAAATGTTAGAAGTAGACTGGTTATTTAGTAGACTGAACTAAGTTGATAGCGTATTATGTTTTAGTTTCTTTTCTTGGCCATTATTAAAACAAACTAGTTGATTAATGTAATAGCATACAAAAACCTAATTGGACTGGCAACAGGAAACCATCAAGTGCCACTGTTTGTTACATAACATTTTTTGATAGAACTGTCACCTTTCCTACAATCACATTAATTTTTATCACAACTTCTATGAATGCAAGTAAAATGTATAAATTTAAGGGTTACCTTTCTTTCATTATAATTTACTGCAAAATCCAGATTGATTAGAATTTTAAAGTTAAAACGATTGTACCTAGGTTAAGTTGATTGGGCTGTCTGTATACATGGATAATACAAAAAAGCCTAAATTGTTAGGTTTAGGAAATGCTCCAACTTATGACCTTCAGCCAGTGATTTAGACTCTGGTTATTTCACCAGTTTGAAGTGCATTGAAAGATGATCTGATCACTATTTATGATAATTAAGAATGTGTGGGATAAAAAAAACATTGGTAAATCACATTAAACTTATAAAACCCTGGTGCTTTTGAAAGGTAGACCTGCCTTATCAGAAAAAAATGCATAATTAATCTTTAGTAATATGAGTAATAAACAAAACAATTATTTTTCAACACAGATCTGTGGGCTCTGCGGTTCATCCCAAGAGAAAATGGCATTCACCAAGTCCACATTCGTCACAATGGTGTCCATATACCAGAGAGTCCTTTCCGTGTCCGTGTTGGTCAGGAGGGTATTGATCCCACTTCAGTTCGTACCTTAGGTAATGGACTGAAGGAATGTAAGGCAGGTAAGTCTTAAAACATTTTCTGTTAAACAAAAAAGAAGGTCGTTGATCCCGTACTTTTTGACAAGTGTTCTTGGAAGTTCATCCATTTTTTGATGTGTATCATCTTCTTAGTGAAATTGGATATTCTTTTTACTTCTATTCACAAATTAATCTTGGTTTGCAACTTAAACCTAATGATTTTAATATATTTTTTGGTAACGTACAGTGAAACTCAAGTGAGACTTCTTTCTTAAGAATTTCATAGGCCTAGTCCTAAGTTTCAACTACTAGAGCTAGGCTATGGTTTTAGGCTTAAATGTATCAAGTTTACACAAAATGTTGTGGACCTGAAGTAAGGCAAAAGAATATGGTATTCACAAATAAAACTGTAGTTATTTAAAAGGAAATGCATTGCAGAACAACAAGAAAAAGTGAGTCTGCTATATTTATGAACTGGATAGCCTTTTGTGCAGTTGACAACTGTTGCCGCTGCAGTAGAAGGAAAAAAAAAGGTTTTTATAAGGCAAAGACAGGAAGGATTGTGCTAATACCAGGCTTTTAGTCAGACCAGGCGTGTGGTCTTCGTGCAGTATCCCAACATCCTAGATTATCTACATCAGAGGCCACCTTCATATCTGCATTTTAAGGGAAATGGACCTTCTACTTATACTAATTCAAATGACCCTTTCACTTTGGTATGACCCACACAATACAGGAACACTGTAGTATCTAACCTTGCTTAGAACAGAGTAGGGTTGGCTAACTTTTTGTCACAAGGATGTTAACTAAGTGTTAAAACAACTGTTTGAAATTTGTCTTTTAAACTGTCTAAATGAGGGTAAATGTTTTCAGCTATAATGGCTGGAGATGGCTTGAATGGGTAATGAAGAAAAACTTTAATATAAGTTTAACATAACAGCAATGTTTCGACAAGGTTTTGTCATCATCAGGTATATTAAAGTTTTTCTTCATTACCCACTCAAGCTATCTCAAACCATTATTAGTCTCAAAATGGGTTCCTTGTCATCGAATTTTCAGCTATAACTTCTCTATACATTTGTGAGAAGATAGAAGTAGTTCTGTTTTGGGTTCTCTTTCCCTGATCATGTTAATCTCAGTGGACAAATCTTTATGTTTGTTGCAGGAACTCAGGCAGACTTTACAGTGGACACCAGAAATGCAGGACTGGGAACTTTAGCTGTAACTATTGATGGCCCATCAAAGGTTTCCATGGACTGTACGGAAGTTGAGGAAGGGTATAAAGTTCGCTATACTCCACTGGCTCCTGGTGACTACTTCATCATTGTCAAATATAATGGTAACCACATAGCAGGAAGCCCCTTCAAAGTTCGATGCACTGGTACATTTCTTTTAATTTATGTTAATAAAGGTTTTCCTAGAGAAAATTAGTGTTTTGTTTCACACATCTCTGTCTTATTCTTGTAAGTGAAAATAAGGCTTGTTAATCTAAACGTTTTTTTTTATTACAGATAAACAAGTAAGTATGTTATGTAACAAGAACGTAAACGGATGAGACAATAAAACTGTACATAAATTTAAAAATCAACTAGAAAATTATAACCTGACATTTCAACTATCAATGGTAGTCATTTTCAAGCCTCTCACAAGTTGTGGTAATTACATTGTTACTTAAGTAGTGCCATCTGTTGGCTCATCCTTAAATGATAATAAAGTTTTGTACATCTGAGCAAGGGATTTTGACCAATATCTGTTGGACCTGCATTTACTGTATGCCATCTTTCTAAAAATCCCTTGCAGACATGATTTTGTTAAAACTTGTAATTCTTCTAATCAATAATATGATCCATTACAGAACAAGTACTACTAGAACAGATTCCTTAGAAAAAGATAAACTAATTTTACTCAAAATCCTTCCAGAAATGAAGTTATGACATTCCAAAAACTAGGTTTACACTTCCTTAAATTCAGGGTTTGGGTAAAAAGTTATCTAGAAGTTTTTCTGTGAATATTATTTTTTATATTGCTGTTTTTCTAAACTCTGATTTTCACTTATAGACATGGTTTGGTGTATCCTAAAGATATGTCCTTTAGTAAAAATATTTCAAGCCATGATTTTCACTTATAGACATGGTTTGGTGTATCCTAAAGATATGTCCTTTAGTAACAATATTTCAAGCCATGATTTTCACTTATAGACATGGTTTGGTGTATCCTAAAGATATGTCCTTTAGTAAAAATATTTCAAGCCATGATTTTCACTTATAGACATGGTTTGGTGTATCCTAAAGATAAGATATGGCCTTTAGAAAAAAT